AGAACCCATAGGAGATGGCTATATTGAGGTAAAGCAAAAACACGTTACCAAGAAAATGTTCTGGGACAGTTTTAGTGCAAATGGTAGATTTAGAATAATTGAGCGGATAATGAATTGCACAAAATATGAAGATCTTTTTAAAGTCAATATGATCCCCCAAAATACAAGGATTTTACCATGGACAGGTTGTTTTTCAGAAAAATAATGCAACCAGCGACACATCGAAAAAAATACAGAAATCTTTTCAAAAGATTTGTACTGGCCAAGACATTCCCCTGACCTGAACCCCATTCAAAACTTGTGGAGTATTGTCAGGCAACGACTGATAAAACATGACTGTCTCATCATGGAGAAGCTAACATATTCAGCCATTCAGTTATGCTATCGTAATGAAGAATTGAGCAACATGTCTGAAACTCAGTATCTGTCTATATTTCTGAGATGAGGTATTATCTACAATATTTACATTATTCGGACTATTGTCCTCATCTTTGTCGCCATATTTATTACAACGTTTCGGCCCTTCAGTATCTGTCTATATTTCTGAGATGAGGTATTATGTACACTAGTTACATTATTCGGACTATTGTCCTCATCTTTGTCGCCATATATATTACAACGTTTCGGCCTTTCAGTATCTGTCTATATTTCTTAGATGAGGTCTTATGTACACTATTTACATTATTCGGACTATTGTCCTCATCTTTGTCACCATATTTATTACAACGTTTCAGCCTTTCAGTATCTGTCTATATTTCTGAGATGAGGTATTATGTACACTAGTTACATTATTCGGACTATTGTCCTCATCTTTGTCGCCATATTTATTACAACGTTTCAGCCTTTCAGTATCTGTCTATATTTCTGAGATGAGGTATTATGTACACTATTTACATTATTCGGTCTATTGTCCTCATCTTTGTTGCCATATTTATCACAACGTTTCGTCCCTTCAGTATCTGTCTATATTTCTGAGATGAGGCATTATGTACACTATTTACATTATTCAGACTATTGTCCTCATCTTTGTCGCCATATTTATTACAACGTTTCAGCCGTTCAGTATTTGTCTATTTCTGAGATGAGGCATTATGTACATTATTTATATTATTCGGACTATTGTCCTCATATTTGATGCCATATTTATCACAACGTTTCGGCTGTTCAGTATCTGTCTATTTTTCTGAGATGAAGTATTATGTACACTATTTACATTATTCGCACTATTGTCGTCATGTTTGTCGCCATATTTATTAGAACGTTTCGGCCGTTGTACACTCCGGCCTTCTTCAGTTGGTTGGAATGTCGAACTCAACCCTTGTGTCACGTGTCATATTTTAATGGATGTCAGTTATCAGTTATCTCCTGTTAATTCCCCTCTCCAAATTCTCCACTGCCTTAACCAGGCATTTTTGTTTGGTAGTTTACTATTTGCCCATAGGTGGGATCCGGACAAGTGCTGCCGACCCGGGTCAGGGTGGACGTGGGAACACCAGCAATTAAGATGTTGTTCCACGCTCCTCAAAACCTCCTCATCAGATGTCTTGCTGTCAGATGTAGTATATCGTCATAACCATTACATGGATGTAGTTTATCGCCATACCCAGGACGGTTTAAGTGTGTTTTTATTCTTTATATTCCTAGCATTGGAGCTTAATGGCACTTTTTATCACTTTCTGGGATTCCTTATATAAAGACCTACTCCATGTTTCGATGATTCTGCCCGTATGTATTTGTGACCGTGTCCAAAAGTTAGATTCTATAAGGTCTCTGGTTGCATTATCAAGTCAATTACCATCAACTAGATTACAACGTCTATTTGATAAGACACTCTACGCAAGTCTTGAAGCTGTACACTAAATTTCCATCACGCTCTCTACAGAATCCTTCCAGGGATTAACTTATAAGTTGATATGAGCCATTGTTTTTATTAACACTAGAACACTAACCATTGGTATATAGTACCCAGCGCAAATTTTCCTATTTTTAATTACAATTTTCAGTACCTGATTTTCTTATCTAATAATGTTTTTCAGTACCTATTAATGTTAACTCAAAGTACAAAGTTTGAAGTGGCTGCATGTAAAATATTTCAAATAAAAATTCATATTTAGTATTTTTTTTTATATTTTCAAAATCGGGTATGATATACCCATGGTTAGTAGTGGTGTAACTTTAATTGATGGTTAGTGTTCTAGTGTTAAAGATTTCACTCCTTGATCCCATTCACTCGAATACATGACTAGTATTCGTGATTCGGGTCAATGAAAAATCCCTTCTTTATACTGATTGATCAGCACTGATCAGCATTATCGTTTCCGAAACTTTATAACGTTGGCAAAAAAACCCACCCACATTTTGATATTGAATCGAGATGAACAAACAAATTCTTTAAAGGTCAGTCTTGGCTGTTTAGGATTATTAGAATATTTCCGATTGCAAATCAGAAATTGAAAGGTCGTTTTGTTTGCAATAAATTCATTTGCTAATGGTCGTGTGGAACAATAGCAGTCACCTATACGAGGGGGTGCTGAGAATTTATTTGTTCGACCTATTTTTCAAATAACTGACGAAATAAGAATTACTTTTTGTTGTGGTGTGCTCCATCTACGAGTCTATGTTAGACTCTACCGCCTACTATAAGTTTAGTAGAAGAGAAGGTTCGGGGAACGGGGAATAGATTGAGCTCTAGTTCATTCGATACACTCTCACTAGTCGTGTAATACTCTTCTGGTGTACTTACTGTTTAATATACGATATATCTGCAAACCTGTTTTTTGTTATTACTTAACCATTTACTTGGTCAAAACATCTTGGCGAGGAAGGATTCGAAGAAACGGACTTCACGTTAAATGATAAAAAAAAATTGCCAGTGTCTACAACTGTGGTGAAGATAGAAATTCTAATCAAACTCTACGACAAAAGGGTATCCAGTGTTAATTACAACACTGACAGTGAAAAAAAAACTCTTCAAGACAAGAGGATTTCTACAGGTTCAATTCGGTGGTTTGGGAAGAAGATTAGTAAACATTGTTATTTTTTCCATTTTTCAACAAGTCATGGACATGATGTTAAATTGTCTGGATTTTGCGGGGGCCTATCTCGATGACGTCCTAATGAAAAGCGAGAGCATCGAGGAACACAATTCGCACATTTTGCAGGTTTTCTGGTGAATCCAGGATTACGGATTCAAATTGAAAGACGGGAAGTATGAGTTTTCTCTTAGAGAGGATTAAGTAATTGGAGAAAATGATTTTATAAGGCTGCACCATAAACTTTCACTGATCACCAGAATAAAATTACAACACTACGATTTTAAATCTAAATTTATTTTTAAACTCGATTCCTCAAAAAAAAAAAAAAAAAAAAAACCGTAACGATTTAGAAAATATTATTTTGTGTCTGTCATATAATATGCAAATGAGAATATGTTGTGGTGTCCTCCCTCTACAAGTCTATGTTAGACTCTTCCGCCTACTATAAATTTAGTAGGTAAGAAGTTTCGGAGAGTGAACAGTGAACCATGAATAGATTAGGTGCTAGTTCATTCGATACACTCTCAGTAGTAATAATCTTCGGGTGTACTTTCTGTTTAATATACGACATATTTGCAAACCTGGTTTTTGTTATTACTTAATCATTTACTTGGTCACAACACTTTTGAAATCTCTACTCTATCTATCTATCTATCTATCGCAGTCTGTACACATGTATCTATCTCAAATTGTTCATATATATTTAGCAATTTATCTATGTATCTATCTATGACATAACACATTTTCCTCTATCTATCGTGATATTTTTATTTTCTATCTCATTCACTTAATATACATATGTCTCATAACGAAATGAAAAAATAAGGAAATAATTTTTAAATCCCTGCACACACACACACACACACACACACACACACACACACACACACACACACACATATATATATATATATACATGCTAGTTGCCAACTGCTGTCCGAGTACGGCCATTACATCTCTTTTTAGAGAATATCTACTGATATGCTGAATGAATGTGGCATGGAAACTGCATAAGAGGTGCGACGCGACGGCGGGTGTTACATTATCATGCAATGTCAAATGTCAAATGAAACCGGTTCTTGGACCGCATGCTTTACCGCAAATATCACATTTCAGTTGCTGAACGACTACGGCTTTATAGTCAATTGCCACCTTCCGTCGGTGTCCTCTCAAGTGACTCCTTAGACCAGCCATCGACAAACACACTTACCACAAGCTGTACACGTTATATCGAGCTGCCTGTGGGTGTTTTTCAGATGTTCAACGGGGACACCTTTTTAGGAACATCTCTTTTTTAAGCATTGCGTGCCTCCACTTTTCCTCCTCAAAGTGACACCTTCCGCTCTGAGCAACCTCATTGCGATATAATAGCTACTTATCTTGCACGATAGATTGATATGAATAGTTTAGCTATAAATTGACATGTATTTATATGAAGTGAATGACTATATATATATATATATATATATATATATATATATATATATATATATATATATATATATATAAAAAGAAATAATCACGCATAGAATCTAATCAGCCATATTAATGCTATTACTGACGACATCCATCGCTAGTAGTGTATAATGTATGCATTAATATACTGTTAATCCATAGAAAGATGTGATACTCATTTATAAAACTGTTGTCTGTTGTTTCCAGTTTATATTTTTTTAAATGCAAGTACTTTCGAATAATCCTTTATTCATCGTCAGGCATATTTTTTTCCTTAGAAAATTGAAACTTGGAGACGAAATAATTGTTTGTAGACCGAAAGATGTTTTTTTTTTTTTTTTTTTTTTGCTGCGTTGGGGAACGGGTATATCCTTTTTGCTTTTTTGGCATTTCAAATCTAGCCTCTGATTTCTGTTTCTAAAATTGAATATTCTAAGTTTCTTTTGCTTCTGTTGAATATCTATAAGACTTTATACCTTCTTTTTTTTTTTGTTTTCCTATTGATTGCAGGAAGGGGGTATGTTTTATCTTCTTTGTCATTTGAGGTTAGGGTCACGCGAGGCCGTGCATCTCTTCAGACTTTTCAAACCCGATTCGTTCACGAGAAGAGCCTCCTAACCGGTCAGGAATCTATGACTAGCCAGCATCGCTTCTTTCCTGAACGTTCTTAGGGAGGCTCAACTTTCAGACGTACAAGCAACCGGATATTAATGAAGGCCAATTGTGCGCAAGTCAGTATCTTTGCTTCTTCCGCTTCTTGTTTTTTTTTTCCCCCCAAGTAAAACGATACTCCGAATCAGCAGCTGTACGCTGTAAATTTTTAAGTATCACGCAGTTCAGGTGAGAGAAATGACATGTTAACAAGATGTATTTTTTTTTCCTTTTTTTTTTTTAATCTAGAAGGTCTGAAACTGTGTAAACTTTGACGAGCGAATTTTAGAACGAATTGTGTTTTTTGCTTAAATTTTTTCTATTCTCATTTCGTTCTTTTTTTTTTAGGGGAAATGTTGCGCGCACAATCGATTTTTCCTTGGATGGCATACAGCCAAAAAGTGTTGTAAAACACTGTTCCTGTTATTTTTCTAAAACTTTAATAAGTAGAGTACGGACATAGAATTTAACTTCGTCTAGCACGATGGCACAGAGCTAGAAGCATGCAATTTGGATCAAACTTTATTTTATTGGTAACGGTGATTTAGTGTAAGCTTGCATTTACTGAATTGATAAAATTACATGTACCTAAGTTATGCAGTCGATGCTAAATTCTTATATTGCCGAAGATTTAGGAAATTGGGAATATATCCATCAAGCAGAGCAGTTCTGAACTAAACATAGCGTAGTTTTAGTACACCCTTGTTCATATTAATAGAAACACCCGCTTTATTTTCATTTCTTCAAATATACGGTCAGTATTAAACCCACTGGTGTGACAGAGTGAAATTGATTTCTTTCTTTTCCTTCAGATTAGGTCATTAGAAATGGTGTGAAGTAATATGAATTTATTTTCGGAGTGTGAGATTAAATTTGTTTGTGCTTGAAAAATATTGCGGCATCCGTAATAGCATCAGATTGTCATCACGACCAGACACTGTTATCTCGACTGTCGATTAGTTGTCCTATGGCCGTTGTCTGCATTAGATTTTCATCACGACCAGACACCGTTGTCTCGACTGTCGATTTGGTTTTTTTAATCATTGTCTGAGTACGAAAATTGTAACGCTGCACAAACAGAATGGCAAACCTTACCAGTGAGCAATTCAAAGTACTCACTACTGGATGTGAAACTCTACTCATTTAAGTCCAATCGAGAATCTGCGGTCAATCTGCAAGGATGGACTTTGTGGAATTGACATAGAAAGTACTAACATGTGCACTGAGGCATGTTTCATTGGAAAATACGACAAAAGTAAATAGAAATGGAATTATTTGTTTTGTTTCAATTAATTTGCACAGATTGTACAAGCTCACACGTAAGTGGAAACCTTGCAATCGGTTATTTACAAGTTTAGTGCTTTCTTTCTTTCTTTTCTTTTATCTTTATTTCTCTACCATCTCTTTTTTTTTTTTTTTTTTTTTTTTTTCAATCAGTTTCACTTCTTTCTCATTTCCCTTTTCCTTCCCGCTCTAGATTTAGTTTCTCTCTTTTTCATTATTTTCTTTTCAATTTTTCTCATTCCTATTTCTTGTTTCTTAACAATTTTCGCTTTTTTTCTTTTTCTCTTTTACTCTTTCGCACAACTTACTTTTCTCTTTCTAGTTTTCTTTCTACTTTTCTTTTTTTATTCTTCGTTTTCTTTTCTTATTTCTCTTTTTGAAATATTTTTTTTCAATTTTTCTCTCTTTGCATTTTTGCTTCCTTATTTGACTTCATTACTTTTTCTTTCTTTTATATTTTGTTTGTTTTTTTCTTTTTCTTAGTTCTGTTTAATTATTCTCTGTTTCTTTCATTCACCCTTCCTTCTGTCTCCTTTCTTCTTTCTTTCACCCTTCCTTCTGTTTTCTTTCTTTCATTCACCCTTCCTTCTTTCTCCCTTCTCTCTTTCTTTCACCTTTCCTTCTGTCTCCTTTCTTTCTTTCTTTCTTTCTTTCTTTCTTTCTTTCTTTCACCCTTCCTTCTTTCTCCTTCCTTCTTTCTTTCTTTCTTTCTTTCTTTCTTTCACCCTTCCTTCTGTCTCCTTTCTTTTTTTCTTTCATCCTTCCTTCTTTCTTTCTTTCTTTCTTTCTTTCACCTTACCTTCTTTCACCCTTCTTTCTTTCTTTCTTTCTTTCTTTCTTTCTTTCTTTCTTTATTTCACCTTCCTTTCACTTCTTCTTCTTCTTTCTTTCTTTCTTTCTTTCTTTCTTTCTTTCTTTCACCCTTCCTTCTGTCTCCTTTCTTTTTTTTTCATCCTTCCTTCCTTTTCTTTCCTTCCTTCTTTCTTTCTTTCTTTTCCTTCTTTCTTTCTCCTTCTTTTCTGTTTTCTTTCTTTCTTTCTTTCTTTCTTTCTTTCTTTCTTTCTTTTCTTTCTTTCTTTCTTTCACCCTTCCTTCTTTCTCCTTTCTTTTTTTCTTTTCATCCTTCTTTCTTTCTTTTTTTCTTTCTTTTCCCTTCCTTCTTTCTCCTTCTTTCTTTCTTTCTTTCTTTCTTTCTTTCTTTCTTTCACCCTTCCTTCTTTCTCCTTCTTTCTTTCTTTCTTTCTTTCTTTCTTTCTTTCACCCTTCCTTCTGTCTCCTTTCTTTTTTTCTTTCATCCTTCCTTCTTTCTTTCTCTCTTTCTTTCTTTCTTTCTTTCTTTCTTTCTTTCTTTCTTTCTTTCACCCTTCCTTCTGTCTCCTTTCTTTCTTTCTTTCTTTCATCCTTCCTTCTTTCTTTCTTTCTTTCTTTCTTTCTTTCCTTCTTTCTCCCTTCTTTGTTTGTTTTTCAGTTTTTTCTTTTTTTGCTTGTTTGTTTGTTTCTTTCTTTTTTTGTTCTACTTAATACTCTATTTTTTTTTTTTTAATATTTTTACTCTCTTTTTCTTTCTAGTTTTATCATTTTTTCCCCTCCGATTTGTTTTGTTATTCTTGTTTTCGTTTTTTTCTATTTTTCGTCCACTTTACAAAGATCAATTTCCTTTATACAAACTGTTTATCTTTACGAAACAAATTCAATCGCCGTGACATCACTGAGTCTACCTCAACGGCTAAATTACTGTCTTTCTCGCGCTATAGACACAAGTAAGAAAATTACATTACAAAAGCCTAAATATGCAAAACTTAAAGGTAATCTACATAGAAAAGATAGATACAGGTCTATAGGTGCAAATGCCTCAAAATAATGGCGATGTAAATAGGACCCTGAATCCGTATGACTCCAATACCGACGGTTGGAATAGCGAAAGTTGTCTCCCTAAAAATACGAAAACATTTAAGAATCACATAAAAGTCGTTAGGAACCAAGAAAAGAATGCTGAACTGCTATGTTATATCCGTCTTCATATATGACAGGAAATACTGTACCATTTCTTTAAAACTGATAAGGAACATTGATGCAACCGATATGGTTCTACAGAAGAATACTGGGAATGTGGACTGGATATGTAAGCAACGAAGAACTTTCTGTCTATATTTCTGAGATGAGGTATTATGTACACTATTTACATTATTCGGACTATTGTCCTCATCTTTGTCGCAATATTTATCACAACGTTTCAGCCCTTCAGTATCTGTCTATATTTCTGAGATGAGGTATTATGTACACTATTTACATTATTCGGACTATTGTCCTCATCTTTGTCGCCATATATATTACAACGTTTCGGCCTTTCAGTATCTGTCTATATTTCTTAGATGAGGTCTTATGTACATTATTTACATTATTCGACTATTGTCCTCATCTTTGTCACCATATTTATCACAATGTTTCAGCCCTTCAGTATCTGTCTATATTTCTGAGATGAGGTATTATGTACACTATTTACATTATTCGACTATTGTCCTCATCTTTTGTCGCCATATTTATTACAACGTTTCAGTCCTTCAGTATCTGTCTATATTTCTGAGATGAGGTATTATGTACACTATTTATTCGGACTATTATCCTCATTTCGGTCCTTCACTATTTTCTGAGATCCTATTTACATTATTCTTTATCCTCATCTTTGTCGCAATATTTATTACAACGTTTCAGCCCTTCAGTATCTGTCTATATTTCTGAGATGAGGTATTATGTACACTATTTACATTATTCGGACTATTATCCTCATCTTTGTCGCCATATTTATTACAACGTTTCAGTCCTTCAGTATCTGTCTATATTTCTGAGATGAGGTATTATGTACACTATTTACATTATTCGGACTATTGTCCTCATCTTTGTCGCAATATTTATTACAACGTTTCGGTCCTTCAGTATTATTTCTGAGATGAGGTATTATTCATTATTCGACTATTATCCTCATCTTTTGTCCCATCAGTCCTTCAGTGTCTATATTTCTGAGATGAGGTATTATGTACGCTATTTACATTATTCGGACTATTGTCCTCATCTTTGTCGCCATATTTATCACAACGTTTCAGCCCTTCAGTATCTGTCTATATTTCGGAAATGAGGTATTATGTACACTATTTACATTATTCTGATTATTGTCCTCATCTTTTTTTGCCATATTTATTACAACGTTTCGGACTTTCAGTATCTGTCTATATTTCTCAGATGAGGTATTATGTAAACTACTTATATTATTCAGACTATTGTCCTCATCTTTGTCGCCATATTTATTAAAACGTTTCAGCTCTTCAGTATCAGTATATATTTCTGAGATGAGGTATCATGTACACTATTTACACTATTCGAACTATTGTCCTCATCTTTGTCGCCATATTTATTACAACATTTCGGACGTTGTACGCTCCAGCCTTCTTCAGGTGGTTGGAATGTCGAACTAAACTCTTTATTTCGTTCACTGGGGTAGACTGTTCTAGTTACACGTGACGTGTTTAGTGTCAGTTGTCAGCTATCTCCTTAAGAGGGCGGCCTGTCTCCCCTTAATATTTCTTTCCGGAGCTGAATGGAAGTGAAAATATCAGGCCTGGCTGACCACATATGGAGAGAATAGGGAGATCACCGCCCACTGTAAAATTCGTAAACATAAGGAATCAGCATATATGCATATGCAAACAGTGTGAGTTCAATACCCGGCTAAGTTTGTGGAGAACTTGCAGAGAGTAATTAACAATAACATGACACGTGACATCTATGAAACATGGCACGTGGAACTAGAACAGTTTACCCCGGTGAGCGAAAAAAGAATCCGTGCACACATTAACCAGCGCATGATGAAGGACCAAAATCTAGGTATCAACATAAGAAATATTAGTGGATACTACCAAAATTATCTACAACAACAATGAAGCTATTATTAGGCAAAATAAACAATCAACATTAAATAAAATATTATTCACCACAGATGATATCCTTAAGTGGATATGATATATTTAAGCCAGGATTTGACCGATTTTACATCAGTCATAGACACTTACCCCTAGTCTATCGGCGTACTGCAGAGAAACTGAAGTTTTAACACATCATACACGTACTATATAAACGCAATATATATATATATATATATATATATATATATATATAGTGAATATGAGGAGTTAACAATAGACACCTTGAAACTGAAAGTGGCCAAAAGCGTTTGGGATAATAGGGATTATTGACAATTTTTATACTCTCTTACCCCCACCAAACGGTAAAGAATAAGAATAGTAAACAAAAGGTCTTCAAATTTTCCTTGTCAGTCATTGTCAATAAAACATGTCTGAAAAAAAGGTTGCTGCACACAGAGACATACACAGAGACACACACACGCACACGCGCGCACACACACACACATATATATATATATATATATATATATATATATATAGCTTTTTGAATTTGTAGGTCTGATGAATTGATCGTGATTACGATTCCAATGTAATAAATTATAACCATGGAATATTAGGGTTTGAGCCTTTCATATTATATTCTTACTCTGTCCTGGACATTGTGTTCTACCTGTATTCTATCCTCTTGAAATTTATATATATATATATATATATATATATATATATATATATATATATACTGACCACTAATATTATCAATATATATATATATATATATATATATGTGTGTGTGTGTGTGTGTGTGTGTGTGTGTGTGAGTGGCCGTGTGTATTTATGTATATGTTTGTGTTCTAATGTGCATTTATATATATATATTAGGATGTCCGAAAAGAAATTAATCTATTTCACCACTATTAATTATGAGTTAACAAAGCAAGGCCGAACTTGGTTGAGTCGTTGGAAACTGCGTCAAGATTGAATTTATCATTTTTCTCTCCGCCATTTTGTCGTTTATAGTGCATTTCAAATATTAGCCACATGAAGGATTAAAAGCAAAATATTCACACTTATTTGAGATATGAATTACAAAAGTGACTACTGCCAGAGAGGCATTTAAAAATGAACAATCTATACAGTTGCAGTGAGAAGAGTTCATCTTTGGTTGAAAGGTTTTCAAAATGGCGATTATAACATATCTACAAGCCTCGTTTTGGATGAGAGATCACTCTGAATAAAGAGCGTCTGAACAAGTCTACTGAAATGGGTTCACGCCAAAGCACAGCTGATGTGGCGGAAAATCGTAATGTATTATGCTCAACTGTTTACGAACAGCTAAAATGAATTAGTGCGGCAATATTATACAATGCATGTGTTGTAAGGAACGTGTATGTATGTGTTCATGTGTCTTTATAAGAAGGGCTTCTGTGCGTGCGTTTTCATATATATATGGGTAGGTATCCTCGTGTTTGTCTGCATATATATACACATACATACATATATTAAGAAATGGACAAGGTCCGACAATTTATTTATTAAAGACATTTTTTTATGTTTGACGTTGTTATTTATAGATACAAGTATTTAAGCAAATGCTCTGTTTATGATAAACAGTATTAAATAACATTTACCGGCCTGAATGTCCGAGAAATTTTCATAGAAAATATTCGTTCTTTGACAGGATTCGAACCTGCATCCTATACGGAACCGTCATTTACGCTGACGTGCCTTACCTCTGGGCCACAAAGAACCTTATAAACTTCAATCTTCCATGAATCTCGTACATTCATAACTGTTCTGGCGTATCAAATGTAAACAAATGACGTCATATATTAAGAAATGGACAAGGTCCGAAAATTTATTTATTAAAGACATTTTTTATGTTTAACGTTGTTATTTATAGATACAAGTATTTAAGCTATGAAAATTTCTATTTAATAAATAAATATATATATATATATATATATATATATATTATGTTTATCTATAAAATAATGTATAAACATAAAAATGTCTTAATATTTATATATATATGTTATATATATGTATAAACATATATATATATATATATATATTAAGACATTTTTAACGTATAAACATAAAATTGTCGTAATATATATATATATATATATATATATATATATATATATATATATATATATATATATATATATATATATATTTTTTATGTTTATATGTTCTTTTTATAGATAAACATAAAAATATTTTAAAAAAGTAATTGTCGGACTTTCTCCATTTCATAATGAGTGACGTCGTTTGTTTACATTTGGATACGCATCGAGCAGATATGAATGTACCTGAGAAAATCATGGAAAAGAATTGTAGTTTAAAAACAGTAAAATCGGCCTTGCTAACCAAAACGCTCCTCTGTGGCAAAATCGGTAAAAACATGACAGGCTATGTGACGGTTCCGTATAAGATACAGGTACGCATATTTCCTATAAAAATTTCTCGGACATTCAGGCCATTAAATGTTGTTAATACTGTTTATTATAAACAGAGCATTTACTTAAATATTTGTATTCATAAAAAGAACGTATACACAAAAAAAATGTCTTTAAATAATTGTCGGATTTTGTCCATTTCATAATACATATATACATACATATATATATATATATATATATATATATATATATATATATATATATATATATATATATATATATTAAATTAATTAATCTATTTTCGTTTTTTTTTCCTTCTAGTGAGACTGCTAATAAAGAAGATATAGTGTCGGAGGGAAAATATTTTGAGGGTGTTAGTATTATTTCTGTGTGCCTCAATTATAAAATAAGGTCACATTACCCTGTGACATTTTAGTCCCTTTCCTACCGTTTCCTTTGGTCTGGCTACGAATACAAAACGGTCGAGGACATCCCGAACTCTTTCCTCCAACCGTAGATCAATGATGTCACGAGGGAAAAAATCAACCAACCAATCGACCGACTCCTCGCACATAAACCAGAGGACACTATTGCAATTTGTCTCTCTTGGTCTGAGAGGACAACCAGACAAATAGGCAGAAGAGTAATGTAAGTAGTAACGTCATTTTTTATTTGTCTTTTTAGCCTATTTGATTCATATGTTTGCTTACGTTATTTTTTCTCTTCCTTTTATATTCTCTTTCTTTTCATGGCGAAGAAGAGATCGTATCGTTTAAAGGCGTCTGGGCACCGCCAGTCGGCTTAGCTTACTTCTAGTGACAGAGGCCAAGCCATTTGACAAGTGTTTTTAGTTGAAAAACTGTTTAAAAGAAAACGAACAAAAACAGATTGCCGACTCAACTCCCACTCTCTACCCATTAAAATTGCCGAGTCCTATATATATATATATATATATATTTAAAGAAAAACAGACCACTTTAAGGTTCCATTATAATAGTTTATTTCACCAGAGCCCTTTTAAAGGACGCTGGATCATCAGATAACACTTCCAAAAGGGCTCAGGTGAAATAAATTATTATAATGAAACCTTAAAGTGGTCTGTTTTTCTTTAAATTATTAGCTCTGGATTTTCATTGAGCTCTCAGGATTTCATCCTCCTTGGAACCACCGATACGGATTACCAAGTTTCTCATAATTTAAGTAAATATATATATATATATATATATATATATATATAAGTAACGAAAATCTTGGTAATCCGTATGGATAATCCCAAGGACGACGAAATCCTGAGAGCTCAATGTTAATTCAGAGCGAATAATATAAAGAGAAACAGACCACTTTAAGGCTCCATTGTAATAATTTATTTCACCAGAGACTTTTATTTTTTCCTGGATCTTCAGACATCACATTCAAAAGGTGAAACGGAAAATGAAATTAAACTTTACACTTTTGACGTACAGTATTAAGCTTATATATGTTGACATAGAAGGTAGCGAGGAATGGCGTGAGAGAAAGTGATGCCTGAAGATCCAGGGAAAAATAAAAATCTCTAGTGAAATATATTATTACAATGGAGCCTTAAAGTGGTCTGTTTTCTTTAAATTATATATATATATATATATATATATATATATATATATATATATATAACAGAGGATGTCAGTGTGTCTGTCTGTGTGATAGCTTGTCACTCGATATCCATCCAACCGAGTTAGACCCAACTTGGCACATGCATTGTACAATGTAAGAGATAGGTTCTTAACATAAAAACCAATAATTTAAACAAAAATCAATAATCAATAAAGCCGATCAAAAATCGAAAAGTTCAACTTTTTGCCTCCGATATCTTTCAAACTCTGTATGTAGGTTACTTACATGATGACGAGTTCAACGGTACCTCATTTTTATTTTTACGCCACTGCGTTTAGCGAAAAACAGCGAAAAACGAAAAATCGATTTCAACACAAATTTTAAACTAAAAACTCGCTCAATTTTCAAGAAATCTAATACAAACTTTCCTCAATTGTAACCAACAATAAATTGATTGTTTAATAGTTATTTAACTTGATAACTGAGTCCACCCACACATGGAAAACCCGCGTAATAGCGAAAAATGGCGATTTTTACTGGTTTCCTTCTTATTTTTCGTTGATCTTTCAGCCAATTTTCATCAAACTTAACAATAGCTTTATAAATTTATTCCCTTTTACATCCCTGGTAGCACACTGACAAATTGAATTTCAAAAACTCCAAAATAACTGTGGCCTGAAGTGATTATTCATGTTGTCTGTTTTACCCGATCATGTCCTCGGCTAACTTCGATCCTTTATCAGTATATTATTAGTAATAACTAATAATATATTGGATAAAAGAGTTGAAGAAGCTTGACGGAATTATAATTTGTCCTGTGTACATATAACAGTGTTTGTTGAGTCGAGTATTAACAAGAGTCGATGTCGTTGAAATGAAAATAGGTTCACAAGCTGACTTTTGAATCTGCTTATTCAACACCCATATATATATATATATATATATATATATATATATATATATATATATATATATATATATATATATATATATATATATATATATGTTCGAAGCCTGGTGGAGTAATAGTTAGCATCTCGTGTTGAAGAATCGGAGAGTCGAGTTCGAATTCCAGTTGATTTCATTATATGCTTTTCCTCCCAGCTATGGGTTAAAAAGAAGGACAAACTGGTCCCTATAGTCCTGTGTGACCTTTCGGTTCTAAGGACAGTTGCTGTATCCTTGTACATCAAAAACGACAGAAGAGTCCCCTCCTCTCTCTCTCTCTCTGTATATATATATATATAAATATATATATATATATATATATAATTAAACTTAAGAGCCAGATAAACCTACAAAGGTTTCACCTACGCGGATCGTCAGGGAAAAAATTTTAACAGCTTTGCTCTACTTAGCGTATTGAGCACTTTATTTTGTTATTTTACTTACTCGTATCGGGTTTTTTTTCTTTGGACTCTGAACTTGGATGCTAGACGATTGTCTTTGGCTGACGTACATGTTCTCTGTTCTTTCTTTTGTTTGTACCTTTTTTCCTTTGGGTATTGGTCTGTTTATTTACATATCAAAGGTACCCAGGTTTTTCCGGACAAGTATAATTTCTTATATTTATAAGATTATTATTATATATATATATATATATATATATATATATATATATATATATATATATGAAAAAAGTGGAAAAAATTACTTGTGACGTGTTTTGTCCTTCAGGACTTTATCGGACTAATTTTGTTATGTTGGTAGGACAAGACATGTGCACAGCAGACGTGTGCTGAAAATTTTAAATTTTCTTTTTTCAGCCGAATTTATTAGAGAATTTTTCCTTTTCTTTCCATCACATTTGTAAGTAGGTATTCCAGACTGTGAATATCTGTCAGGAATCGTGAAATGTTGTAGATGACCTTGCGATTAAGACATTATCTAGACATTTAATTCCCTATTATTCTAGTTGTTTGTAGCGAGCTCTTTAGCTATAAAAAAAAATAATAATATGTCGTCTCATCACCAATCAACGCTACTTCACATTCAATAATGATTGTTACAAAGAAAAATTTTGAATACCAATGGGATCTCCTCTCAGTCAAGTAGTGGCTTATATTTTCTTAAAATTCTCGAATCTGGACTTTTCATTTTACCCAAACAATCAATATAGTTTTGTTATATCAATGATGCTCTACTTATATATCCACGTCGGACGGATTTACCTGACCAAGTAGAGGAGCTAAACAAAGTCGGACACGCAACAGAAATTACATACGAAATAGCTAAACCCAATTCCTTACCCTTCCTAGAAATCAAGCTACATCACGTTAACAACAGTTTAAAATTCGGTATCCACCGGAAATCAACCAACAAAAACGACCTAATAAATTTCTATTCTCATCATAACAACAAAATAAACTCCAGCATAATCATCCGATTCTACGTAAAAGCTCTAAGAATATGCAGCGCAGATTATTGACACGAAGAGGAGAAATACATTAAAAACATTTTCAATCTTCTTCAGTAGAATAATTATTTTATATTAAATCCGAAACAAATGCCCACAAATTACGGCCCCTCCCGTGAAACCCAATGAATTAAAAAATGTATTATCCTTCCTACTAATTCTATCCCATCTACAATGAAAAAGCGTCTATCTAAAATCAACATAAAAGTCGTTACAACTACATCCAAAGCAATAAAAGACATAGTCAATACTAAAAATAATAAGCTAAAACCTAAAGTAGGATTATAGTTCATCGCCTGTAATATTGTCACAAAAAATATATATGAGAAACCTTAAGGAATCTAAATAAAAGATTGTATGAACACAAAAGGGATATTTTACAAAATAATGCATGGAATGCATTGGTTGCTAATCGTAACTGACCACAATTTTGCCATAAAAAGTGTTACCATGATTCACTATGATGTAAATTTGCGCCCTGGATCTTGTAACATTTCGCAATTCTTGGCAGATCTTCTAATATCACAGTGTAGAATACCTATTTAAAAAAGTGGTGGAAAGAAAAGAAAAAATCTCTAACTGAATTCGGCTGAAAAAAATCTAAATTTCCCAGGACATTTATATATATATATATATATATATATATATACCCAAGTACATGATTCGTGTATACGGAATAAATTCCAATAACCAACAATTACTATTCTTAAAAGAGTGCTCAATACGGAGTAGAGCGATTATAATTATTTATTTAAAAATTATAAATAAATATATATATATATATATATATATATATATATATATATATATATATATATATATATATATATAAAAAAAAAGGCTTAAACACTAATATTCCATGGTCATAATTTATTCCAGTGGAATCGTAAATACGATCCAATTCATCAGACCTACAAATTCAAAAAGAAAACAGAAAAAACAACTCCGGAGATAAAAAATAGATTTATAGAGAGTGTAAGTATGTGAGTGTGGGACGAATGTTAGAGCTAAAGAGAGGGGTAACAGACGAGAGAAGGTGGGAGATTAAAACTTAACAGAGAGAAGTTTTAGAGAGGTGAGTTAAAGACGGTTTAAGTGAGAGAAATATGAATGTTGTCGGAAGTCTAATACATTAAGGATGTAACCGGAAAGGATACATTTTATGGTGACATACACGCACAATAGACGATCTAATCTTAAAGATCAGAAGTGTAATTTAGAAAATTTGACAAAATTAATATCGTTATATTTATTTTTTATATGTTTATATTTGATTTGTAACCTGTAGTCGATATTAATTTTGTCAAATTTTCTTAATTTCACAGCGGCCCTTTTAATAAATGCCCTTCAGTTTTAGTTCCCCCCCCCATCTCTCTCCCCCACCCCTTTTTCTTTTTGTTTCTTTTCCTCTCCCTCCCTCTTCTTCTGATTTTTAAGATTAGATCGTCTATTGTGTGTGTATGTCACCACAAAATGTATTCGTCCCACACTAAATTTTATTTTTTATTTCCGGAAGTGTTTTTTCTGTTTTCTTTTTGAATTTGTAGGTCTGATGAATTGGATCGTATTTACGATTCCAATGGAATAAATTATGACCATGGAATATTAGTGTTTAAGCCTTTTATTATATCCTTACTCTGTCCTGGACATTGAGTTCTACCTGGATTCTATCCTCTTGAATTTTTTATTCAAAAATATATATGTATGTATATGCATGTCTGTATATATATTTATATATTTTGCATATGTATGTGTATAATTACCACTAATATTATCTATCTATCTATCTATCTATC